TTATTAATATATCGATATTAAGCGAGATAATACGATAAAGCGCATTATAATCGATAGTCTTATAAGGCGGATACTAGGTATAGTAGGCCGTATAACTACCTATTAGAAAGCGTACCCCGAAGAAGATAAGATAGTACCGCTTATTATTAAGGACTTATAGTAATTTCTAGAACGTAACGATAAAGGTAGATTACTTAAAGTAGTAATAAAGAAACGCGTAAAGAATATCGCGCGGTATTACGCTTATGCGACGGTTTATATAAGATATAATAACGACGATATTTAAGGCTATATTTGTAAAGGATTAGACGTTATAAAGGCTAATAACTATAACTAAGAACGCCTAGCCTAGTTTTCTCGATTACGCCTAAGTTTTACGAGCCTTAAACGCTTATCTTATTAAGTTAGCGCCCCTTTTCCGCCCGGTAAGAGGTCCCGTTTAAGTTCGGGTTCGGCGTTTCTTATAAAACCTAGAAGTTTATTCCCGAACCGGGTTTACCGACGCATTATTTTACGCGATTACGGGAGGTTAATCTATGAAGTAAGCTTATAAGTAGCCTTACTTAAGGCGTTAGAGGGATATATTAAAGGATACGAGTCTTTATATAAGGCTAGTATTCTTTATCGGGATATTTTAATTAATAATCTTATAATTAATAAGGATAACGAGAACCCTTCTTGGCTTTCGTTTTTAATTAATTTCGATTTCGTTATTAAGACCGATCGATTATAAGTATTAGGTATTAAAGAAATAACCGGTACGAGGGCTTTTATAGTAATCGGGATTCTTTCCGGCGACGATTATTTCTTTATAAATAACCTCGAGTCCTTTTTTTAGGTTCTCTTTTAGATTTATATCTATTATAACGGATAAGGTAATAACTAAAGCATTTCTCGATATAATAAGTAGAATTATATGGATATAAAAGAGCTTATTACCTTAAAGCGAGAAATAATAATTAAGAAAGCCTTCCATAAGACTATATCGGTATACTTTACTCCGTATTATTAGTCGCTAATCCCTTACGTAATTAAGTTACGCGATATAGTATTTCCTAACGGTTAAAGTTAGAAGTAGGAAGATAAATTACTATATTTACGGATGCGGAAAATTCTTTACGAAGCTTAAATTAATCCGTTAATAATAGTAATAGATTAATAAACTTAAGTTTATTCTTTTACCGCGACTAGGAGTAGTTAGGGTAGCGTAACTTTAAACGTAGGTACGAAGGTAATAATACGAAGGTAATGCTACCTTATTTAAAATATATAAAAAGAAGTAACGTTAGGCGTCGGATAATGTAGCTACTAACGCGACGACGTACTTTAATACCGACTTATTTAGGAGATTAACGGAATCGATAACCTTTTATAAATATAATTAGATTTATTTTATAGCCGCGGTATAGCTAATCCCGATAAGGAAAACATACTACTATTATAAAGTCTTATTAGCCTCGAAATCTAGGATTTAAGTAATACGATCCTAGATACTAAGAGTCTCGATTATTATAGTAATACGGTAGAACTAGGCTACGTAGCTTTTTAAATATATATTTATATAGGTTTCGTACTTATCTTTTCATCGATTAAACTTAAACCTATAGATATTAAGATCTATAGCTCTTTATTCGTTTCTTATTATGCCTTTATTCGCTATCTCTATCCATTTCTATTAGTTTTTCCTTTTCCTAGCTACCGTTTTTAGCTAGCCGATTAACTAATTATAGTTATTTATAACTATAATTTAATTCGATCGGTACTAAGTTATGGTAGTACTCCTAAGACCCGTCGGAAGGTCCTTCCGGCGCTAGGTAAGCGCTTCGTACGTATAGCTAATATACGGTAAGCGAAAAGGTCGTTAAAAGGTAGGATCGTATATAAGGACGAGGCAAGCGACGAGGAGGTACCTAACGAGTAGGAAACGGCGTAAGAAACGGCTAAAAACGAGAGATCGTAAACGGAGGACTATATTAAGGTAGTAACGCCGTAATCGGAAGGTTTTAATTAGTTTTAATAGTTTAAATAACTTTAATTACTTACGTAATAGTAATAATAGTAAGGGTTTTTTAGGTAATCCGCGAAGGGGTAGTCCGTAAAAGGGGATTAAGCTTATATACCAAAGTCTGTTTTATATTAAACGGTTTTTTTAGCGTAATTACGGTAATACGTATTTAGAAATTATATAAGTTTATTTATATTAGGTTATAAAAAGCGGGTCTTATTAAGCTAGACTTAGGTTTAGGCTTAGGCTAAAAGCGGCGTGGCTTAGGTTGGATTCCTATTCCGATTCTGGATGGTAAAACCGATCTTATAGGTACTAAGGTGCTACGTATATATATATAATATATTAGTATGTTGGGTGCGGGTTGGTGGATGACCTGTGGTGTCAGACATGGATAGCGGCCTCCGTAGGTACAGGTAGGAGGCAGGTTCGTGCGCAGGAGTGCAGGTACATCGATATGGTGGGATATCGTCATCAGAGGTACGCCAATCCCGTGTATACTTCCCTCAGAACCGGGTGGGTTGGTGAGTTTATGTACCTGGGAGGTAAGTAGCCCTCTAGGGGGAAGACTTGTCCTTCTTCCCACTACGTACGTACATACAGCAGGTACCTTCTCTCTCGCCTTCCCTCCACGCCCGTTTGCAGACCTACCTAGGTACCTCTTACCTTAGGTACCTACCTAAGGTACCTAGGTAGGTGGGTAATGTATGTACCTAATGTACGTATATACATACGTACACGTATACTTGGTTAGGTAACCCAGGAAGTGCCTAAACGGTCGGCAATCCATTCCCAGACTGACCGTTTGGTCCCACCCGATCAGCCGATAACCTTATCACCTACCCTCCGACAACAACCAGCCCTGGCCCAACTGGCCAGGTATCTGCCTCATATCTCTACCTACCTACCTACCTGAGTTACGCGTTCTCCCGGACACCTGCATCGTGGACGTTATGTAGGTACGGGCATGTGCACTAATGTAGGCAAGGACGTAGGCGTGTTACCAGTAGTAGGTTGTAACTATGAGGTACACGAGCACACCGACACGCTACCTGTTTGAGAATGCGTAAAAGCAGCAGCGTTGGTACCTAGCAGACCGGCCGGCGCGTGTATGTAAGTAAAAGAGCCTGGGCCGGTCGGGGAATGCGAGTAAGATCGATCGGATAGGTGTCGAGTCAACGGAGATATCCCACCTGATAAGATCCGGCAGTGATAGCTGCTATCATGGGATCACGGGGAAGGGCAGTGTAGGCTAGAACGGCCATGTGTTCCCCCCCAGCCACCTACAGCAGGCCCCCGGTCACTGGGTGCAGGTGGTCAGCAATGAGTCGAGTCCACACACGCACGCACACACGCCTAGTACCGTAGGCGGCGTACCTGTAGGCAAGTAGGCTCAGTCCGTCCCTCTTACGTGAAGGTATGTCGGGTACATCCTTGCTAGCTATCTGACGCTACGTGCGCCCCATTAGGTGAGCCGGCAAGCCGGGAAGGGCGCGAGCGTAAGGGAACGGAGAAAGTTTCGGAGACCCCTTTACTACACGTACAGCAGTTACGACAAGTCCGGGCTGGTGCCGTTTACCTACCTCTCGCGTAGCAACAGACACTCGCCTGCAGTCAGCTCCCGAAGCCTCACCTCCCCCGAGATGCACTGCATACACCACATACCCACGCACCTCTCTCTGCATGCCAGAGTGGTATGCCTATCAATCAGGTGACGACACACATATGCTGATCGGCAAAGTGGCATAGGCTAACCCAAGCCATGCTGCTATATAGTACTACTTGGTACCCTGCCTATCCAACTTGAGGACTCGGAAACGATGGAGTATAATGGGCCTAGACATCTTTCGAAAGGCAACCTGCAGAGGACGTCATGGTAACTACCTACCTAACTCAAGCACCTGGTACACGTCCAACTCGAGATACTGGCAATTGCCCGGCAAGGTCGTGCTAAGCTTCTTAGTAGATAGTCTCGGATGACAGGCACTGACGCACCCGCCGTCTCCTACGCAAAATGATGATTTAGGGGGTGCAGGCTCGAAAAGCCTTCCGTTCCGTGCCACCATTCGGTTACTCGACCTGTACATGAGCCAGAGAGTCCGGCACAGGGTGTGCATCCGCACCTGTTCGAGAGGGATAACCACGGCGCCGGCGCCAACGATCGTCCCCCCTTCCCGGGGCTTGATTGTCAACCTTGAGTTACGAGACCACTGCCCCTGGCTCATCATAACTGAAGGCGAGAAAGCCTGGTGGTTTCACGTACATTCCGTCGACCGACCCAAGCCTAGCGAGCCAAAGGCCTGTCCTCGGCCCCCGCTCCTCCTCCAGGCCGCACCAGGACCCTTTCCCTCACTTACCACGATTTATGAGTAGAAATAGCTGAGGGTTATGTGGTTTCGCCCTCTCGTAGCTTTAAACAGTCGTCACACGGAATCAACCCCCACATACGCGCTGCACATCATACATACGATGTACAGCCCAAATAAACCCCACGGGGAGAAACCCAAGTACGAGTAATTACTACAGGTGCTGGCGACCCTGTAGACCCTGTAGACCCTAGCGTGGTTGTGTATAGAGATACACGAGGCAAAGGTATGGTGGTATACTCACCGAAACCCGTGGTTTCCACCAGAGCATTAATGGATATCAATAAGGGAGACGAATCTGGTAGTCATCGTCCGTCTCTGCAATATGAAAAAGATTTTTCCGTCGTGCCCTCGAACGCCGTCATAAAGCCCTCGGTGCGGTTTGAAGCTTGGTCCGCTTCGAGATGCTCGCGCAAAACGAGCATAAGAAGTTTCTTCCCAACCTCGTCAACTAGAAGCCCTCAGAGCCCTCAGAAGGAAAAGCCAACTTGATAAAAAAAGCACGTGCGGAGCAGCGCCTGTGCAATCCCACGTGCAACAACGCCCTCAGTTTAGATGTCGCCCTCGAGCCCTCGGAACCCACATGGAGGTCTCCCTCCGATCAAGCCCACAGGTTGAATCACAGCTTCTCGACGAAGCTTAGCCCTCAAAGCCCACTACTCCAGAGGAGCGATAGTTTTGGAAGCCGACAAACCCACAAAGAGCCAACCGTCATGTGTGCGTCAAGTAACCTTCAGGATAGACCGTCCCGTGCGGCTGTAGCACTTTAGAAAGAAATCTTCTTGCCCTGGAAGCCGCCGCGAGAGGAATTGAAGCCTCCCCGTCCACCACCGCGACCGCCACCACGTCCACCAAACCCGCCACGGCCACCGCCACGGCCACCGCCGCGGCTTCCGAAACCGCCGCGATTTCCCCCGTAACCACCCTCACGGGGCGGCCTCTGAGAGGCAAAATCGAGGCGAACGAGACGAGCCCCTCGACCTTCTCCCAGGTAAGAGCCGTTCTTCGCGTTGAATGCCGCCTTGGCATCCTCGACAGAGTGGAAGGTCACGTAACCAAAGCCCTTGCGTTGCCCAGTATTACTACCACGACGTTAGCACGGAAACGCTTCGTGGACGCGATGAACTTACACATCGGTAGGAAGTCGAACGCCCTTGACTTCGTTGACATCGGAAAAAAATTCGTACACCGCATCCTCGTCAGCATCGAATGGAAGATTTCCAACGAATAAAGTATCGCTTTCAGGGCTGACAGAATCGCCGTGTTGCTTAGCTCGCTCAGCAGCGCGAGCGGCGGGATTTCCCTCCTCAGCGGGACGAGATTTCGAAGGGTCCAATCTCAGAGGACGGCCTTCGAGCTCGAAGCCGTTCATAGCCTCGAAGGCAGCCTGGGCGGCTTCAACCGTGGTGAAGTCGACGTACCCGAAGCCGCGAGAGCGCTGCTGGAGCTTGTCGGTGACAACACGGGCGTTCGTGAGGCCGTCGCAACTCTTAAATGCGTCATACAAAGCATTGTCGTCAACGCCCCAGCCAAGGTTTCCGACAAATAGGGTGGAGCTCTGCTCCTCGGAAGGATCGGTCTTAGTCTTCTTAGACGGTGATGACACTTCGGGTTCTTCCACCTTGCGCTTCTTGGACTGAGTTTTCTCGGCTCCGGCAGCATCTGACTGATCAGAATCATGCGAGTCGTCGGAGTCATCATCGGCGGACTAGAAATGCTGTTAGGGCAAGTTTAATCAAGGGGATAGATTATGGTGCATACCTCATCCCTAGCCTTGGTCTTGTCCGCATCAGCGGGCTGCGCAGATTTAGTCACAGCTGCACTGGCATCATCATCATCACTGTCGTCATCGTCGCTGTCCTCTTCTTCCTCGGAGTCGGAATCGTCCGAAGCATCCGACTTAACGACCTTGGCACTGCCATTGGTGGCCGACTTAGGGCTCTTCGCAGTAGCTTTGCCGTTAGTCTTCGCCTTTGCAGGCTTCTCGTCTTCGGACTCGGAGGCAGAGTCCTCCTCAGAGTCGTCAGAGGCATCCTCAGATTCAGACTCTGAGTCCTTGGAGGCATCATCTTCATCCTCGGACTCGGACGCGAACTCAGACTCGGACTCAGACTCGTCCTTCTTGGATTTCTTGGACTTCTTGCCATCTAGAATCTTCGGAGAGGCATCCTTAGCAGCTTTCTTAGACTTGACCTTGGATTCCTCGGTGGCCTTGGAGACTTTGGAGGCCTTGGCGACGATGGCCTTCTTGTCCGTGGGGGGAGGGTTGGTGGCCTTAGAGGCCTTGCCGTTGGCTTGTTTGACCTTGCCCATTGCGATAGAGTGGACAGGTTACTGGAGGAGCGAGAGGGGCAATGAGGGATGGGCGAGGGTGGGTTGGAGAGGGGGATGAGAGAGGGAAAAGAACGGAGAGAGAAGGATGGTGGTAGCTGTTAAATAATCGTCGTGGCTGGCAAACTTTTTGAGAAGTAAACCTTCACAGAAAAATTTCATTCTGCCGGTGGGGGCGCACTGGGCGGTAAGAGCTGGTGAATTGATGAACGACCCCAAGCACCTTAGATACTTGGTAGGTACTTGTATATGCCTAACTTCCTACACGTACGTACTGAATCTGTAGTGTGCTACCTACCTAACCCACCTAGCAGGTACCTACCTAGGTACTTGATGTGCTGGTAGGACTTTACGTAAGCATATATCACGTGATATGACTGGTTTCCGGTCTGTCTAGGTACCTAGGTACCTACCTAGCAGATAATTGCTGCCGGATAAACCTGGTAGGAGGAGGCCAGAGCTCAAATATGATAAGTGGATGATTCCTCGCTTCCTTATAAAAATCTAAGACGAACGTTCGATCCGAGATCTGTTGTACAGAAGCAGCGTTAAGCTGCAGTTCATTGATGCCAATCTCAACTGTCACCCCGATCCCCGACTGAGACTATCGCGGCAGTCCCGCCTTCATTACGATGCCTACCCCCGAATCCGCAGCCTTCTTGGCGAAGAAGCCGACCGTCCCTCCCACCTTCGATGGCGTTGACTACGACGACAACAAGCAGCTGAAGCAGGCGCAAGACGCCGTAATCAGGGAGCAGTGGGTGCAGGTTATGATGGGACGGCTCGTGCGGGAGGAACTCAACAAATGCTACCGCCGCGAGGGTGTCAACCACCTGGAGAAGTGCGGTTTCTGGAGAGGTTAGTCGGGCGACTGTTACCACTACCTGCCCTACCTACCTGAGCTATAATATTCGCGAGGGTGATTGCGGGCTTGCCTACCATCTCGCCTCCTGCGCTTCGGTAGAGGAAACCATCTGCCTTACTGTTACCCGACTAACACGATAATAGAAAAATACCTCCAGCTGCTTAGCGAACACCGGGTAGTGGGCTTCCGGTTTGAACAACAAAATTACCTCACGAAGCCGGACGGAAAATAAGTGGAAGGACTGCCGCAGAGACGTGCCGCTTCAGAGCGCAGCAATCCGCGCCGACCTTCTCCCGTGGCTTTCATGGCAACAAGATGCAAGGACAGCATTTCGGTCTCTCTTGACGAGACCTGGTCTCCGAAATGCCCCTCTCTTCTGGCCCCGTACCTATGTAGTGTATATACCGACAGATTTGTCAAGCCAAAAATGAGAATATGGGCCGGATAAAGTAGATCATATCCCTCGATGAAGAGATAGGGTGCTGTGTCGTTGACGCTCTCGTCCACTGCCCGTACTCACGTAGGTACATCCAACCCACTACCAACCTGGCTATAGGTACCTTACGTAATTCGATAATGCCCACATCCCATCCGCCCAGCCGGCGGGATGCCTAAGTACCTAGATACCTTATAGCTAGCACCCGTCTAGCGCCCTGCAGACACCTAGGCACGCCTGATGGGGTACTTCATTATAGTGCATGTCCACTATGGTCTACTCTATATCAGCACCGGCGAAATTCAATCCAAAGCCCCGGCCGGTCCCATACAAAATTTCCATGCAGTGGGAGTAGCTCTAGACACCACCAGTTCTATCCCACCACTAACACGCAGTTCGCATTTTCCAGCTAGAGCGGCGAGGCATCGCAACTGACCAACGTCTCCGAGAGCCATGATGTGCTCCCGCGCCTGGCAGCGCGTCCCGGCGCCCATACTACAAGCGCACCATTACCTCTTCTATCCCACCTCGTCGGCAACCGTTGCCGTCCGCCGCTCCCCCACCTCGTCTTCGTCGCACTCCCGCCCTCGCCCTCTCCCACGACGGCCCTTCTCCAGCACGCCTGCGAGCCGATACTCCCCTCCTCCTCCACCCACATCCGAGCCACCGTCGGGCAGCAGCAGCGACAGCAAGGGGGGAGGCCCGCCCTCCTTCACGACGCCGCTGGACGACGGGTCCGGCCAGGAGGATAAGCCCCCGATATCCTCGTGCCCCGAGGGCACCATCCTGACGGGGCTCAACTACCTCAAGAACCAGACGGACCCGGTCGCCCTCGCCGACAGCGCCTATCCGAGCTGGCTGTGGCGGTGCCTCGACGTGGTCAAGAGGGCGGACGACAACGTCGACGAGGACGCCGGCGACGAGTTCTGTAAGCTTCCCCTCTCTCTCTTCTTCTTCCTTCGCCGCTCCGCCCCGCCGCCCCGCCCTTCTCCGACACCCGCTAGCTAGCTGACCGGCCGGCCCCTCGCGTAGCCAAATCCAAGAAGCAGCGGCGCCTGGCCGCCAAGAAGCAGCGCATCGAGGAGGCGCGCCTGATGGCCTCCGGCAACCTCGACGCCCTCGCGCCCAAGATCCCGCTCCACCACCAGTCCATCAACTTGCCCGCCAACGAGGAGGGCACCGTCGAGGGCGCCATCTCCGCCGCCGCCGCCCGCGAGGACCTGCGCCGCGCCATGCGCAAGGACCGTCGCGCCAAGATCAAGGAGAGCAATTACCTCAAGAGCATGTGATAGCATAAAGAAGCCGCCGGCGGTGACGCCGACGTGGATCGGCCCCTCCCCCTCCTTCGCGAGCGGGTTTGCCGGGCAGGTATGTACATAGCGGCCGCCCTGCCTCGCCTGGATATGTTCGGGCCCCGCATGCGTCTCCATGACCTTCTTAGCAAAGCGGCGCTGGGCGAAAGAGAAAAGGAGACGAGGTGAAGGCCATCCTCGGTGTCAAGGAAAGTCACAAGAGAAGAACAAAACCGAGATCGAGGGGGAGGAGGAAGAGAAAAAGAAAACAAAAGAACACGGCTCCAGGCGAGACGGCAGTCGTGGCATCAGTCGTATCATTTCTCTCTTACGTAATTTTATATGATGTTCAACAAATGTACAAACTAAGCATTGTTAAGGAACATACATCGAAAATTAGTCCCCATATGGTATTCGGTCATCTAAGTAACATGGTGGCGGCTGAACAAGATATACACGTCAAAATATCCGCTTGTAGCCGTTGGATACTATACATCTAACGATGCACGAAATCAAAGTGTATTAACATGACGCTCCGATTCTTCCTCGAGTGATCGTATCGTCCGTTCTCTATGCGCTAGTGTGAGAGAAAAAGCGAAAAGGGGGTATCATTCCCATAATGGAGTCGAATCTAATCGCAAAAACGCAAATCGACCCTAGTGTTGCCGTCAAGATCCTCGAGCCGCCGATCAGAGTAAAAACTGGCGAAGCGGCCGCAAAATACCGTCGTCAAAGGCCTCACGATCTCGAGGCTGATGGCTCCTTCGCCTTCGGACGTCGTTTCCCCTCTTCATCCCTTCAGTCGTCGTCCGTCAGGCCGATTGCGGCTTTCTTCACGGCGATTTCCTTCTTGATATTTTCTCTTTTGGCTAGGAGTCGCTTCTTCAGTAGAGGTGCCATGACTCCGGAGAGCATCAGTTCTGTCTCTTCCAATGACCTCTGTAGATCCGCCATAGCGTCAAACTTCTCCTTCCGCTCCCTCTCGGCGGCTAGTTGCTCGTCGTCGACTTCTTGTCCGTCTTCTGCGTCGTCAAGTTCGTCGTCATCGTCGTCGTCGTCGTCGGACTCATCTTCCTCTGACATTGGCTCATCCGTCCCTCCCACGGCTTGGGGTGTGTTCCCACCGATTGTCACAGGGGTTGGTGCCTCTAGCTGCGTAGCCGGCGTGACGGCGGTTGGTTTCTCATTTTTCAGCTCGTCTTCCTCTAACTCGGCCTCCATGGCCAGGAGCATCTCGTCTTCGGCCTCGGGCTCTTCCACATTTTGCGTATCTGCTTCTGGTTGATCCGCGAAGTAATCTTGCTCAATCTCGCCCTCGGCATCTTCGTCCTCGTCAGAATCCGCGTAGCCATACTCGTCCTGCATGAACTCGACATGGGACTCCAAAGCACTGGCATCATCTTCGAGCAATTGGGAAACTTGCGCGGCTGTGCTTTGCCATTGCTTTGCCGATAAAGTCTTCCGAAACCTCTGGCGAGAAGCGTCGTGCATTGGAGGGGTGAGGCCGTGGGGCCACCTATACTCGTTCTTGACTACCATGGCTGGGAGTGGGATCGTCTTAGCCTCTCCCTCGTTTTGGACCGCCTCAAAGCAGAGTAACATCTCGGTTATGTCCGAGTTCTTCATCATATTTTTCCGATCCCAAGATTTCATTGCCTCTGTGATGGTGGGGAGGTGGACGAGAACAGCGGCATAGTGAATTCCGTCTATCGTCACCATAGCCCGCCGCTGCTTAGCATCGAGGAATTGCACGGCGAAATCGGCACCTCCGTTCTGTTTCGGCAGTCCGACGGTGCCATCGGTCAGGGCTTTTCTCAGGTAGTCGGTCGCTGGCCCGGGGGTGACGCGCAGTATGAAGGTAGACTCTCGGGTGGGATCGACCTCGCGATCGCTAGCCTCAGAGTCGTAACCATCGCCGGGATGGCGCTCGATCGCCTCTCCTCGAAGCTTGAACTTAATGGAGCTAACGGGGGTGGTCGCAGAGTGCTTGATCTTGATCATCTTGCTCGGCCGGCTAGAATCTTGGCGGGCGCCGGACAAGGGCTGATCCTCATCGCTGTCGTAATTGCGCTTCTTGGACTCGATGAGCTTGGCGGTGGGCTTGGAGGTTCTGCCAGCCTTCGACTTGGCGGCGGTGGGAGCGGTGGAAGTAGACGCGGTGGCGGGCGTACTCGGTTGGCTGTTTAGTTTGATCTTGATCTTTCGGCTCTCTCCGGACGGGGTAGGCGTGCCAAGGTCGCCGCTAAAGGAAGATTGTCGCGCTGACGTGTTCAGCTTGAGTATTGGTCTTGGGTTGTCGGGATTGGAGGGGGGAGGCATCTGCTGGGCCGTGTCGAGCTTGAGGGACGGTTTTACGTTTACGGACGCCATGGCGAGGGCAGCACGAGACGACTCGTAGCGGCAGAGGAACAGATAGGCGAGCGACGACGGGAAGATTAGGTTTGAGTTGGGACGAAGGCCAAGCGCCGGACCGAGAGACCCCGGGGGGGAACTTTGTGTCGGTAATGACCGATTATGAACCCCCGAGACCACAATTAGGAGTAGGCTGAGATTTGCGCCGATGTTGGGGTGGCGCCAAACGAGGAAATCAAATTGGCAGGAACTTCGAGGGCGCTCGAAGCTGAAAAGATGAAGGGAGTGAAGTATGTGGAATGGGCTAAGGAGGTTAGAAAAAAGCCGGAAAAGTAGAAAAGATTGAGATGTGGAAGCAGAGGAGAGAATCAACCAAAGTCAACCGCCGCGACCGCCGCGCGATGTTGGTTTGTCGATGTCGCTTGTCCGCTTATCGATAGGCACAGCTCAAGATCGCCTTACCGGGTAACAGGGGTAAGTATAGTAGTGTACATTAAGTACCACATTATGTACCTCTACCTCCCAACCTACCTACCTTAGGCAAGAGGTACCTCTACCCGCTCTATAGAGGTAGTACCTAAGGCTCAAAGCTGGCTGACGTGTACTGGAAGGAGACTCACATAGTGGAAGCTCCTACGTACCTACCTCATTGTGTAGGCGTCTACCTAGGTACCTAGAGGTAGGTACCTGCCAATATGCAGCGCTTGTAGTGTATGTAGATAGGTAGGTATGTACCTGCCCATACTACCTGTAGGTACCTAGTACCTGTGGGAGGTAATTTGTAAGGAGGAAGGTTGAAATACATTAGGAGGTACCTACCTCCTTACATACCTGTAGCCTCTGTATGGGTACATGCGTGGTGGCACGGGTTGGTCGTGTTCATCCCGGCCAAGTTCCCGCGCGCGCTCCCAGCTGCAAACCCTTGCTCTGCCTCGCCTCGCTCGTCGCTCATCCTCCATCATGGGTCAGTCCAACCCGCAACTATTCAATTCTCTACACGACCACTTTGCAACACTTTCCACACCGTCCTGACTTCTCGCTAACATGGCGCAAGGCCTGGCGACCGTTTGCTAGGCTGATTGACTGCCTAGATGGCCGAGAGCGCGAGAGAGCAACAGTAAACCCATTCTCGGCTATCCCAGCACATACCTTCGTTACTCCATCTCCGACTAGCCTCGACGGTCTTGACTCTCTTCTCTCGAACACCCATCTCCGAGTCCCTCAAAGGTCTTTGTGCGGCCACCGGCACGTCCCGTCGCTTACACCACTAGATACTGTGACGCAGTAGACGCCTACTATTCCATCCCTTCGACCTGGATTTCCGCCAGCTTCCACTCCCTCCTCAACCTTTGACGCCCATCCCTGACCACATCTTCAGAGCCCGCGATTCGTCTTCGGCGCTCGACACACCACAAGCTGTGTTTACCACCTTTTGCAACCCAACCTCCCCAAGCAGACTAGCGGCAAAGCTGCCGAGCCAAACAAATAATCCACCTGAAATCCTTAAAACCGCTTCCTGCGAACGTACGCGACAGCCAACATGTCGTCCCGGGCGCAGAAGCAGCGCCAGCAGCAACCCCAGAGCCTCCCGCCGACCACGTCCGAGATCTACCACGCCCTCCTGCGGCCGTGCATCCTCCAGATCCTGCGTGCGCAAGGCTACTACGCGTCGACGCCGGGCACCATCGACGCCCTCACCGAGCTTGCCGGCAGCTACCTAGCCGTCATCGCGCGCCGCACCGCCGCCCACTCCTTGTCCAACAACGAGTTCGGGTATCCGGGCCTCCCCGGGCTCGTCGACGTGCGCCTCGCCCTCGAGGACTGCGGCGCCCTCTGGCCCGAGCGCGAGTTCGTCTCCCAAGAACTCTCGGGAGAGGACGACACCCGCGGCGTCGACGACTTCATCCGCTGGGCCACCGGCAAGAAGAACCAGCGCATCCGCAAAGTCGCCGGGCTCGACAAGCCCGCGGCCGGCGAGGTCGGCGTCGAAGGTGTTGAGGAGCAGCGCGAGACGGACTACCTTAGCTGTATGTGCTCTTTTTCTCTTCTTCCCTACCCCTCCCTCCTCTCTCTCGTCCACCGCTTCCTACGTCCCGTATCTCGACCGAAGCGACCGAGGCTAACCGAGGACTTTCCCACGACGTAGCTCTCAAGCGAAAACATAACAAGTCGGAGCTGGATTCTAAGTACGCCGGCACGATCTTGGGGCGCGGCATCGTCGAGGGCGAGTTCCCGGTCGAGGGCGGCGGCGAGACGAGCCTCCGCGCCTGGGCACTCAAGATGCACGAAACTTCACAGCGCCCGCCGGACCCGGAGCCTACCGCCGCCGCTGCCGCCGCGGGCGCCGACGCCGACGCCGAATCCCGTCCGGCCAGCTCGGGCCTGAGCTCCCTCGCAGACGAGGACGTGGCCATGATCGACATAGACTTTGGCAACTAGGCTAAGCATGGACGCGAGCCGGCTGCCTGGCTCGGCAGCACATGTCGGGTGCCGGCAGCGACGCGGCTGGTTGCTCGCACCTATGTACCCTCGACACACTACCTAACGAAGAGGGGCCCGCGGCTAGGATTACTCGTCTTTTGCGCCTCATCCCCCCCCTTCTCTCTGTTCAGATCTGTCTTGTGCTTCCGACTGCGATGATAAAAATACGCGATGAACTCACATACCCCACCCACGACACACATCCCGCCACAAGGTAGAAAGAGTAGTAACAGGCGTCTTGTCTTCTTTTTATTTTTATTCTTTAATTATGCACATTGCGTGCCCTGCATAGCTACGGCGTTTCTTCTTTCTCCTCTCCCTTTTCTTGGCCTTTTCTCTCTTTTTTTTTTTTTCTTTCTCGGCGCGAGGGAGCCCGGGCGTTCGGCGGGGAAGGAAGAGGAAGGGGAAGGGGAGGGGGAAGTGCATAAATAGGTATGGTATCGTGACTGGTGTTAGTGTTAGCCTGCTGCTTCTCGTTTCTTTGCTTTCCTGTGTGTTCACTACCTAGGTACCTACCTCCTAGGTAGGTATCTCTATTATGAGGGAGGCGGTAGGAGAAGAAGGAGGCAAGGGAATAGAGCTAGCCTGTCGTTGTTGGCCATGCCCTTGAGCACAGTGGATGCCTAGACACTACGTACGTGCTCTGAGGGCTCAGGGGAGAGGAGAGCGGTTGCGGATCGTCCGGCGTGGACCCCAGAGATCGGGCCGGGGGCGAGGGCCAGCACACGGTTTCGCTTACCGCGGGCGAACGAGACTCAGTTAGCATTCTTAGAAAAAGGGGGGAAGGGGTTGGAGGTGAGAGGAGAGCAGGACAGTGCTCGCGTTAGTCGGCATGTAGGACACGAAGCCTCCACGTACATCCGCGTCTGGCGAAGAGGGATGCCTGCCTATAGGGGGCGAATTGTCTTGCCTGCCTGATCTAAGCGGCGCGAGTACACCCACGCACGTAAGCACGGGTACATAGAGACGTGTGCACGGCGGCGGCGGCGGCGACGCCACGCATAAGCGCCGGCAGTACATAAATTAATAGGATTACATACGCTATTCGGTGTAGTGGGAAAGAAAACGACACTCAGAGGCGCTGATGATACCGATACGTCTCTCCACAGTCCCACTATCGCTCCGTCCCGTCCTCCCGACTCTCGATTTCCGGATAGATCGCCAACGATGACAACGATAGCGATGGCTATGCTTTGTAGATGGTAGACAAAAAAATAGTACCTGGTAGGATAAGTACCTAGGCAAGGTAGAGATCATCTAGCCTCGCGGGAACGCGCGCGCGCATTACCTTCCGCCGTTCCAGCCCTTCCTTTTCCTCCGTGATCCGGTTATCCAAAACCACGAGCTGTTGAAGACGCACAGAGAGAAAAGAAAAAAAAACAGATCCAACCCCCGTTTAAGCTTATGTTCCCCCCGAGAGACAGATCTAAAAATAAAAATGGTCAGGGCTCCATAGCATGCTTCCTTTTTCGTACGCGCTACATCACGATGCACTTCTTCTCCTTGGTCTGGCCCTTGGGAGCCGACGACATAGAAGCCCACGTTACGTCCGTCCATCCGCCGTCGGCCTCCTTGTTTTTGTCCTTCCTGCGCCCCGTCCACCCGCGGAGCTTGGCGTCCCGTATGTTCTTCAGAGCACCCCTGCGGGCGCGGCTCTGCCGGCGGTTGAGACTAGTGTGATGTCGTAAGGACGTCGAGTTGAGCTGGGACGTGGGCCGCGAGTTGCTATTGCCATCGTCGTTGTTCTGTGGCTCCCCGTTGGAAGCTCTGGAGACGGCTTCGAGCCGTTCGACGGTAGGTCGCAAGTGAGCTCCAGACGCCGGTCGAGGGTGGCGAGGAATCGGCGCGTGCAGCACCGTCTCCGGGGGGGATTCACACGTGTTTGAGTCGTCGCGAATGTCAAACCCGCCTGTAACACCCTTCGGCGTGCTAATGATAAGCGGCTCTGAGGGGGCCGGCGCCGGAGTTTGTCCCTGAGGAACCCCGCCATATCGCTGAGGCTCTGGGGTTTGAGCCGCACGGCTACCCACGTGTATGCGGGGGTAGTGGAAGTTGCTTGACGCGGGACGGGGCACGCCATAACTATCCTTTCTGCTGTGTAGACCTGCTGTATGTTCCAGGCTTGGTACTGGAGGCAAAGCTGCTGCTATGATATCCTCGTTTTTTTGTCCCGTCGCTGGCGCGGAATGAGGGTAACCACTAAGCGAGGCTGACGAGGCCTGGCCAGATGGCGGCTGAATCCTTGGCCAAGTCCGGGCGTTTGGAAGTTTATGCGAGACTGAGGTAGGATCGGCTCGCCTGTTGCCCTCTTTCGGAACACTTCTCGAGGGCGATGGCGTGCTAGGATCAGAAGCGCGTGAGTTAGCTGAGGTCGGGCGAGAGTTGCCGGTAGTATGATGTGATCTAGAAGAGGCCGGTGTATTCTCGAGGGCTGGCGACTGTGTCCTATAGGATGGTTGGTGTAGACTTCGTCTTTCTGGCGTGATTTCCTGTACTGTCTGACTATCGGAAGCGTCTGGGCTCGGAGCTCGTGAAGGCGACTCGACTGGAGACACATCGTAAAGGTCCTCCTCCTCGTCCTGTGGCAGGTCCTCTTGAGTGAAATACGGCGTCGACAAAGGCCTGCGTACCTGCCTTGCTGCGAGTGAGACAGGCCTATTACGACTCGTACCCTCGCTTGCAAGACGTGGCTGCGGAGTACGGGGGATCCAGGTCATACGCGATGTCCTTTCTGGTGTAGGTGTGTGGAGCCGAGATAACTCTGGACGGCCGGACCTTGATGTCGGTGGCATTGCTCGCGGAAGTAGCGGCAGTGGTGGGATCGGCGGGACTGGCGGAATGCGTGGAAGAGGAGGGACCGGAGGGATAGCGTAATTACTACTTGACGCAAGCCCGATACCGGGAATTACAGAATGGCGCAAGAAGGCGGGCAGATCGCCGGGATCATCCTTAGCATAAGGTGGGGGGGGAGGCACCCAGTTATCGGCATCGCTCTCGTGCGGATGCTCTGCTCTCCCATCGGCACGTCTGTACTCGACTGGGCCAGCCACGGCCGGTTGCGGGTTGCGCCGGCGATTTACGGCAGCAGCTGTGGCGGCACGACGTAACGTTGTACCAGACCGCGGGTTGGCGTGAGCATACGGAGCATCGAGAGCCTCTTGAGCCTCCTCTAGAGAGACATCTCCCGGATCCTCGGGGTTCGCGACGTGAGAACCAGTGCGCGCCGTCATCATAGGTCGCGGCACTAAAGGGTCTTCCAGGTCGCCGTCGCGAGAAGTTGAAGGCCGCAGTAGGGCATCCACTTGACGAGCCGTAGTTGTCGCGACAGAGATTACACTACTGCGGTTCCCTCTCCGCTGCGCCACTGTTCTTCGTCTGACGATGGCGACCTCCGTGTCGATATCGCGATGTTCTTCCTCGAGCACCTCGGGTTCCTTTGTGCCGATCTCAATGACGATCTCAGTCTCGTCGCCATTCACGGGACCATAATCGAAATCGAGAATCGCAATTCTTCCCCCGTCCACGAAGTCGATACCTTCCTCCTCGGTTACAAGCCTACCCGGCATGATACCGCGTGCGGCAACAATCAGGCGTTGCTCCAGCGGTGTCTCGCCGAACCCGGAAACCCATTTTACCATGCTCACGCCAGTTAATTCGCCAACCTTGCGTCCGCTTACAAACGTATTGCGGAACTTGTCGCACAGGATTTGCCATTGGGGAACTCGGCCGCTTTTCGCTTCCGCTGCTCGATGGGGGGAGCGCGCTGAGATTCCGCTGTTCCTACGGCTCAGCGCGGACGTAACATTCGGATCGGGCGTCGCGTGATTGCCCTCTGGAACAGCCTCCAGATCTTCGGGTATACCGTACACCCAGATATCCTTCCCTTCGAATCCGGCCGAGACGAGGTCCCCTTGGTAGCTAGCGGCCGGGATGGTACAAGGCAACAAAGGCACAGGCGATGATTCGGTAGGAACGGGTCCCGTAAAATAAGTAGTTCCGTTTCGGAGATCATCAATCCGCACGGCGCGGAAGGTCTCGAAGCTTCTATCATACGTGAAGGTCCAGGTTGCCTCCATGGAACTCGACTCCTGCAGCAGGACAGCATGGCTACAATCGCGGCTCGTGTTCGGGAAGAGGATGGAAGTAGTCCATAAAGCACTGATGTTGCTCTCTTCGGACATCTGGTTGCCGGGGTCGTAGTATGGAGCGGTCAAAATTACAGTGTTGGGTATGTGGGACGTAGTCGTCGTCCCCAGCAACTGCGTCCCGTCGAACGAGAAGGCGAGAGAGTCGACACCGTCACATTTGACTGCCCTTCGATCGGTGGGGAGGGCGCCGGGACCCACCGATGACACCTCGATACCGCCTTCGTATGCGGCGGCTAGAACACTACCACATGGCGACAGCGCGATCGCGCGGGGAGCGTGGTCGAGAATGAGAGACCGTGTCCGGCGAGGCGGGACCGCAGTCAAGTCGTATAAGTCGACCTGCATGTCAGTAGACAGGACGGCAAGAAGACTACCGTCGTCCAAGATGCAAGCAGATGCGGGACGGCGCAGGATCTTAAACTCTCGCTTGACGGCCAACGTAGGTTCGCGAGCATCGAGGACGACTATTCGCGAAGAATTATAGGCCAGGAGGTGATGGCCCTTCGGGGAGGGGCTGAACTGCAATCCCTCGCCACCGGGAGCTGAGGAGGAACCGATGCAATTCGAGATAAGCTTGATCGTCGTGGTTTTCGGGCGCAGGTAGGCGTCGAAGAGATTCCGCTTCACCTCGCAGGCGAACAGACGCCGTAACCTAGGCAGGTCGTCCTCGGCGACAGTCGCGCCGGGCGCAGCGCTATGGCTGGCAGCGTAAGAATCGCATCGCGAGAGGTGGTACGCGTAGAGATCGGCCTGCTGGGAGATGCGTCTCCATTTCGTATTTAATAGGACGAGGGACGCGAAGGAGTTAGGGTCGACCAATTGCAGTATTCTACAGCGAAAATGTGTCAATTAACATGTGCTCGGCGAGACGGGTATTGCCATACGGGACCTACTGCAGGATGATCTCGTTCGGGAGCCGCTCAAAAGCCGAGAGCGTGTGCTCGTCGGCAGACGTAGCAGCGGGCTCGACGTCCACACCAGACGGCTCGGGCGAAGACATGACAGAGAAGTCGAAGCGGCCAGCCACGAAAGAGAGGGAGAGAGAGCTGGCGAGACCTAGATCGAAGGGAGACGACCACGATATCTTGGGATAGAAGGGGGGCGGTGCTAGGCCATTATTCCACGGAGGTTTCTACTCGCGAGATCGCATCGACTCGTACGAAGAGATAAGGGGGGCAGGCGCTTTCGGCTGGGAGTGTCGCAGCGATGTGTCTCGTCGGAACACACGTCGTCGCACAACTCGAAGACGAGTATCGGAGGGGCGAGCTGATGTAGTAAGAAGAGGGGGGTTGCGATAAAGAAGACGAAGGTGACGCGGCAGATTGACGCTGGGGTTAGTTAGGATATGTATATTAGAGGCGTTGTAGCGTATCGTCTACTCATATGCTGTATGACTGTGATAGGCCACGAGGGACGTTTCAATACCGTACCTCGATGTACATGCATGTACATACCAACCAGGCTGGGGGGCGGAGCCAGACCCATACATTACCTACCTACCTCCTACCTAGTTACATTGCATAGAGGCAGGTAGGTACCTCCTGCATCAGATGCATCTACACGTACATAGGTAGGTACACAATACTTTCTAGGCCCCCCCCTTGAGGCAAGGATAGGAGGCACCTAGGCCTACCTACCATGTACCTAGATACCGTGCGTAGGTTGACATCTGGGCGTGTCCTGGGGGATTGTCCAGGCACGGCAGCCCGCCTATCACAGATGGCAGGCCAGCCCCACTCCATCCAGCCGTCCAGCGGGTCAGTCCAGGCCAGGAAAACGCCGTAATTCCACCTGCATGCATGTGCCAGGTGCCAGCTTATAGTATGTAGGTATACATACCTCCTATATGAGTACGTCAGGTACGCAAGGCAGGCCACCGCACCCCCAAACCCCATCGTCGATGTGCCGCGCCTCCTCGTCGAGAACCTACCTGCCGGGCGGTTTACTCCTATCTACCTCCCTAGGTAAGCCGTCCCCAAACCGAGGCTGAAACTCGGCTCTGCACGTTACCTACGCATGGGGCGTAGAGAGACCTGGCGCACAACCGCGTGCTGACGCTGCTTGCGTTTTCCTCGGCAGAAAAGTAGCCAGAAAGGACGAATAGCGCATGCGAGTGTGCTTACTGCCCGCCTAGGCACCTATGTAGGTGGGCAGCTGTCTTCAGCATTGCAGGAAAGCCAGAGAGGGTCTTTCTTCGCGAAAAGGTCAGGCTGAGAGTGTCCAACCGATCTTAGGTCGCACACTCGCAGCAAATCCAATCACCTATATCAGGAACATGTGCAGGTGGTATATCTGCTGAGCAGGGGAGGGGCGCGAGAGGTGCCACCTAACGTATTGGTGAGGCGTTTAGGAGGCAGGTATTTCCGCCGGGTTGGGATGGCCGGATATTGGGTATTATAGGGGTGCGCGGCGAGAGTCAAGGCACGCTGGCCTCCTACCTGTTACGTCCCGACACGAGTGGCAGGGTAGGGTTACCTCCGCTAGCTGCCATCAACGTCTGTATATATAGTGTTGATATATTTTATATTTAAGGTTATACCATTAGCAATCCGAATGGACTCTAGCGGCGTCCGATGTTTCTCTCCTGCGTTTAGCATCGATATCCCTTCGCTCACCACTTACTACTACGTACGTTTCTCTCCTCTCCTTGTCGGCTTGCCTAGAACCAGACGGAGCCAGACGAAACCAGCCAATCCCCGCCGGGCTGCGGTAGTGCCGTAGTCGTGCGCGAAGTAGGCATGTCAGAATCAAGCGAGGATCCTACGAGAGACTAAGTACGATCCAGCCAACCGCCGGCTCCCCAAGATGACAGCTTCGTGCTATTTTTGGTCTCGACGTTACTCTGTATGTATGCCTGCCTCCTAGCTAATATACGGATGGCGAGTGGAGGGATGGCTATCCACCTCATGGTCCCCTCCCTTCAAAAGATGCCAAGGAGCCGTATTACAGACGCTCTGCTGCTAGCTGGATACAGGTACGTACGTACGCTTTCCGCGTGCGCCGAGAAAGAAGTATATATAAGCTACCTCCTACCCAGGTACCTCCTAGGTACCTACCTACCTACACCAGAACTGAAGCCCCGTCTTCTCCCTCCCCATCGCCGTCTCCATCCCCACCTCCCCTCTCCATCCCCACCTCCTCATCCCTGGCCACCACCTCTCTCCTCCTCCCTCATCACACCGAAACAGAAAACTACCCAGATATAAAAAAAAAATATATATATATATATATAAATAAAAATAAAAAAACACTCCGAGTGTAAGATCACCCTAGGGTTACTTGTATACCACCTCAAATGTGCGTCGAAGTTACCTTGCAGAATATTTCCCCTTTCAGAACTGGAAATCTTGAGGAAGACGGCTTCTGGCTTCGACACCTGCCCATATCGTTACCCCTATCGTGGTTATCACCAGCCCTTTACATGAGCCCGCACCAAGGCCTTCGTCGGCAGACACTTCTCTCGATCCCGGCAACATCTCGCCCAAGATGCCCCCTATCTGAGCCGAGCACGTCCAAGCGCATCCACCATCTCAACCTACACACGCTAGACTACATAATGTAGGTAATGCATATCCGTACGAACGAAACAAGCTCTTAAGCGACGATGTCACCCGGGCCGCGCTGTAATACGACGAGGTTCACTATCCATGAAACCGTCTTTACCGGATCCAGGCGACGCATACCTATACTTCGGCTGAACCGCCTATGCACGTCGTAGGGGGGTCGGAAGACGCGAAGGGAGAAAGAGGCAGCTCGTCGAGGCCGCACGACAGCTATCTCCAACAACAAAAAGACTTAGTAAGCCAATGAGGTAGCCTTGAGCACCGCGGTGCCGGCCCGGGTCCGGGCCTATAGGGTATGAGGCACAAGGCATGTGTATTCTCGGGTCGGACATCGTATCACGTTGTTCCACTTCGCCACGACGGCACACGACGGCACCCACCTCGTTGTTGCGACACATGTAGAGGTGTCGGTGTATGGGGTCTGCCGTTGTGCCCACCCTCACGTCTACATGGACATCGTCAGATTGCATACGCCACCCTACAGGTTACATATGCCTATCTAATGCCGATAAGGGTCTACAACTAGACGGATACGTAGATGGATGCTAAGATGGGTCCTCTGAGGGGTGCAGTTAGCCGATTTTAGGGATCGTGAGTCAGCTTCATGAGCTTCAATTCTCTTAGGTGCCCCTCATCCCCTCCGAGCGGTCCGCCTGCCCAATGATGTCAAGACTATGGGCACACCTGGAGAACTCTGCGACCCAACGCCATCGTCGTCAGAGGCCAGCCACGATATCAACGGGTGCTAGCCGGAGCATTTTGAGTTAGGTTGGCCAGGCCGACTATACCTGCGATGATAAGACTTGACTAGTCTGCCGGCTCGCGTGTCCACCTGCTTGTCCATCCGTGTTCTTCTTCGTCCTGTTGCTACTACCTACGTTCGTGGGACAGGAAAAGAGGCATCTCAGAAAAGCTTGCAGTCTCCTCTTCCTCATATATTGGCGAGAGAAAGTGCCATTTCTCTTCAATATGACTACGGCTAAGTGCAATACCCTCAGCGTCTCTACGAGAGACGTTGTAGGTTACCTTCCCATTGAGAACTACGGCATCATCGGAAACATGAGGACGTGCGCATTGGCGAGCATGGATGGCAGTATAGGTCCGTAAAGAAGCCTCTCCTCGTACCCGGGTTGGGAGTTGCACACCCAAAACAGCTAACAAGAGAACACGGGGTCCTGGTTAGATTTCATGTGCTGGTAGGTTGTTCTCCGTTCCTAGTCTGTCCGTCCAGACCGTCTACCCATCGCCGGGTTTCGTCCCCTTACTCGGTACTCTCCAAAGGCAGTTGATCACTGTGATGAGAGAGAGCAAGGCTCTTATCTAGAACCGAACCCACTCTAGTTCGGCTAGGGAGGCGGGAACGTAGATGCTGCTCTTGTATGTACGTGAACTAAGCCTGATCATAGGCCAGACTTTGACTCCCCATCCGTATTCTGCCGCCTCCTCGATAAGGACAAGGGTGGCTACTTCAGCATCGCCCCTCCCAAACCTACGTCCTACACGACCAAGCAGCAGTATCTTCCGTCCGCGGCTATTCTGCAGACACGTTACATCAACGAAGATGGCGTCGTTGACGTCGTCGATTTCTTCCCGCGCCCGAAAACGGCCAAAGTCCTGTCCACGAAGCACAAGCACAACGCGTACCGCGAGACCAAGAGCGTATACGAGGAGCTGAAGAAGTGGCTCGTACGCCGGGTCGAGTGTATACGCGGCCGGATGTCCCTAGGTATGCTGTCCCGTACGCCGAAAATGATTGACCGGCCGCTGAGATATTTAAAGACGTCGACGTCTTCCCAGCTTTCGACTATGCCAGAGAGCCTCATGCTACCACCATACTTCAGAATGCCTGCACAACGGAGGGTCTCCAGAGTAAAACCGTCACGTTCCATAGCAAGAGCCTGAAGCTGCAGCTCGATGTGACGATCGACTGCGGCGGCCGAGAATCGGCCCCGAGTCTCGTCTTCAAGAAGGTACAGAAAGATTCCATGATGGGCGAGGGCGTGGCCGCCAGCTTCGTCCTCCGGGAAGGACAGGCGATTTCCTTCGTGATCCGGGAGGACATACCAAACCACGTGACGGAAAACATTACGAGCTCCATTCTCGACAGCCAACAGCACGACACGCAGACCTACTGGCTGAACTGGCTCTCCAAGAGCAGTTACAAGGGTGCCTGGCGCGAGGTGATCATGAGGAGCCTCATGATACTCAAGATGTTGACATACGAACCCACGGGGGCCATAGTGGCAGCTCCCACTTTTTCAATCCCCGAAGCCATCGGTGGTGTAAGGTATGTCTAACTCCCCCCTTCCTCGAACCCTTTTATCCTTATCGAGTTTCGAAAGGGATGTACCAATAACGAGCTGTGCCCACGCGGACATGTAGAAACTGGGACTACCGCTTCTCCTGGGTCCGTGACTCCAGCTTCACCATCTACATCCTCCTGCGCATGGGCTTCACGGACGAGGCGGACGCGTACATGGAGTTCATCAGCGACCAGGTCCGGAAGGCTACGCAGGCGGGCGGCGACCTGCCGATCATGTTTACCATCAGGGGGGACACGGAAATACCTGAGGAGGAGCTCAACCACCTAGACGGGTACCGGGGCAGCAAGCCCGTCCGCATAGGGAATGGGGCGGCGTTCCATAAGCAGTTCGATATCTACGGCGAACTGATGGACGCCATATACCTCTACAACAAGTACGGGAAGCCTATCTCGTGGGATACCTGGGTCTCCGTCCGCAAGATGCTTGGTAGGTCTTCACCATCTCCAGCGGGATCCAAAAAAGACCCGGAAGGGGGGGGGGGGGGGAACAGTTTTTGGCTAATCTCGGACAGACCACGTCCTGACCATACTTGACCGTACGTGAGCTACTGCCGCCACAGGAACCGATCTGCTAACGGGGCGGCCTCGTAGAGCCGGATATGTCTATATGGGAAGTCCGCAATAATAAGCAGCACTTTGTGTACTCAAAGGTGATGCTCTGGGTGGCGTTTGACCGCGGTCTCCGCCTCGCCGAGAAGAGATGTCTGCCCTGCCCGAACCGGCAGAAGTGGCTGGACGCGCGGGACGGCATCTACGAAGAAGTGATGGAAAAAGGTCAGCAAACCCTCATTCTTTTTCTTTTCTCTCCTGCCTATAACCTATATGCGAATATATGCACCCGCGCAACGCAAGACGCCACGGCAACCGCTAAACATGGACGGCGAGTGGCCGCGCAGGGTACAACATGGAGATGGACAGCTTCGTCCAGAGCTACGAGAACAACACGATGATCGACTCGTCGATCCTGGTCGCGCCGCTAGTCTTCTTTATCCCGCCCAACGACCCGCGCTTCCTCAACACGGTCGACCGGATTCTCCTGCCGCCAGACAAGGGCGGGCTCACGAGCGCCGGCCTCGTCTACCGCTACAACACTGAATTATCGCAGGACGGTACGTCTGTCGCTCCGGCCCCTTCCCCCCCCCTCCCCCACAAAAAAAGCATCGCTAACCTCCCACGTACCGCACACTCGAAACAGGCGTCGGCGGGCACGAGGGCGCCTTCAGCATGTGCACGTTCTGGCTGGTGGAGGCGCTGACGCGCGCGTCGGCGTACGAGCCGGGGTACCTGGGGCGGGCGGTCAACCTGTTCGAGAACGTGCTCGGGTTCTCGAACCACCTGTCCATGTTCTCGGAGGAGATCGCGCGCTCCGGCGAGCAGCTCGGCAACACGCCGCAGGCCTTCTCCCACCTCGCGCTCGTCAGCGCCGCCTTCAACCTCGACCGCGCCCGCTCCTTCGCCCGCAAGTGAGGAGGAGCAGGGCCACGGCGGGGATGGGAGAGGAGGAGGTGGCGGAGAGAGAGGCTGAGGCTGAGGCTGGGTGCTGGGTGCTGGGTGCTGCGGCAAGCGAGCGGAGTCGTAGGGTATGAGGGCCGGATCCGGGGGAGGGCGTAGGATACACAAGTACTCACGTAAGTATATACGCATGTCCGCGTATGTATAGGTATACTTGTATATAAGACTCTGTACACGGCCCTCGCTACAGCTACATCGTATAACCTACCTGCCTTCTCGTACACGCTGATTATCGACCTGCCACCTAGGAGTATCCCTCGCCCGTCAAGGCGTAGTCGGAGGAAAGGCTATAGAGCCCCCCCCCCCCCCTTTCTTCCCCTGTGCTCCTCCTCATCCCCCTTTCCCACAGTGCCCCTGACGAGCCCGTGCAATCCAGTTCGTCCGTCATTGAGTGGCTGCGGCGCAGCGTGGCGCCGCTATGGGCACTCACACATGTCATACGGGCCGCGCCCAAAGCAGGGAAGAAGCCTATCTTCCGACTCCTTGCTACAGAGGCCATGCTACGTACGCCAGCAGCCACGCCCGCATGCTTTCACTGTCTTGGCTTAAAACCAATAATACCAACAACAACACGGTAGTGACGTGCCGACTTCTAACCTGCGAGGAGGAACACGAGGCCGCTCCTGGGGATGGAGGATTGAACTCGACTGACTGACGCCATCGATCTCGACCGGGACGGTCGGCGCCTGTCCGGTCTGTCTGTCTGCTATTCGTAGCTGATATATGCAACGCTTCTAGAGCCTACACCGCCCCCAATAATATATATATATATATAACTCGCCCGTAACGACTGTGTAACGTTTCGCTCCTCTGCCCCCCTTTTATCCGTTTCCTTTCTCTTCCCTTCCCAGTGGTATTTCCGGTCCGCGACGAATCCGTGCGTATTCACCAAAAGAAAGAAAAAAAAAAAACGCTGAAATCTTCGAGAAAGTTCTTTTTTTCCCCCTTCATAATCCGTCCCTATCCGTCTCCTGCTCGTAGCCGTCGTCGTCGTCGTCGTCGTCGCCGTAGTCGCCGCCGCCGTCGCTATGGCCGGCGATCAGCTCCGACATGTCGCGCATGCGGTAGTCGAGAATGGTCGTGACCCAGTCGTCCTTGACGAGCGAGTACGTCTCCGGCTCGTTGCCCTTGGGCTTGCGCGGGTTGATGGCCCAGTACCCGAAGTCGGCGTCGAGCAGCTTCAGGTACCGCAGCAGGTTGCGCCAGTAGTTGGCGTCTCCGACGCCCGGGTGGCGCGGCGCCCCGAACTCGCCCACCCACACCGGCGCCACGTTGCCCTCGACGAGGTACGCCCAGTTCTTGCGCATAGATTGAACGAAGGAAGCGTAGCTGCGCTTCGCGTACCGGCCCTCCCGGCTCCCCCAGCCGGACCACGCGTACACGTGCGACGAGTACACGACCCGGTCGGCGACGTCGAGCCTCACCGGCCGATCCCGCACCCCTTTCAAGTCGTTTCCCGACTCGGTCCCGCCGACGACGATGAGCCAATGGGGATTCATCTTCAACAGCCGGTTTCCGCACTTCTCAGCCGCCGTCGCCCAGCGACTCCACGGCATGGTACCCCAGGCGCCACGCACCTCGTTCCGGAGGTCCGCGCCGATGACCCTCGGGTTGTCCGCGAGGGGCGCCATGATGGTCTCCCAGTGCTGTATCCACTCCTCTTCCGTCTGCGATACCCTGCATAGGGGTCCGAGGTAGTCGTTGGCCCAGCCAGCGTCGCACGGGTCGGCGCCGCAGCACCACGTCGCGCTCGTGATGTGGTTGTTGAGGATGACAGCAATGCCCGCGTCGGTCAATGCCTCGACGACAGCTTGGAATATGTCGAGGGCACGCAGGCCCATAAGGTCGGGATTTGCGATGAGGAGGTGGGGGAGGATGTGAGGGTTGCGGATGACCATTTCGTCCGAGTAGGGCAGCCGCACGCTGTTGAAGCCCAACGTCCGAATGGTGGCCGCGATGACGGAGCGGTGCTGTATCTCGAGACCGCCCGGGATGAAGAGCTCGTCGCTTGCGCCGTACCAGTTGACGCTGGCGAGCTTAAAGCGACGCCCGGTAGCATCGACGACGTTCCGGCCTTCAGTCCGTAGGGGAAGTGTGTAGTTCGCGATGCCAGACGCTTCCCGGAACGGCGGGAGGGGCCGTTGGCTAAAGAGACGGTCACCGGCGTCAGGCGCCCATGGCTTGTGGAGGGCGGCCTCGGCTTTCCACAGGTAATGGAAATAGCCGCCGAGGAAGAGAATTGCACAGAGTAGTATCGAGTACATTGCGGATTCTTGGGTCTGTATGCGTTCGAGCAAGCGGCGCCAGCGCTAGCGGGATCGGGACCTTCGGGTGTCGGGATACCAGCGATCAGAGGTAGCGTTGAGGAAACCTGGTCTCAAGCACTTCGGAACGAGACACGACAACTACCATGAATAACGATGTCACGGATCCCATTGTAGCCTCGTTGGCACCAGAGCTCCTAAGTCAGCGGGTAAAATGATGCGTGGGCTGTTGTTGTTGGGGGGGGGGGGCCGATTTCATCAAGGTGAGGTGGGAATTATATACGTTAGATGTTGAGCCGGAGCCGGGTCGAGACTTACGAAGTCGAAGATTCCCTGCCAGCCGCCGTCTCGACCCTGAGCGGTTTCCGCAGTGACGCGCAGATCCACATACTTACAGGTACCTACCTTGTATCGATTAGACGTCTCTATTCCAGTTACGTAATCATCCGCCTGCCGGCAACAGGCGGCAGCCAAGGGGCAAAGGAGGTGTGATTCTACTACCTATAGCTTAATATAGGTAGGTACCTACTTGAGGCAGGTATTGACATCGTCGGCCACTTACCTACCTCCTAACCTCCTTACTACCTCTCTACCTAGGTAAGGTAGGCAGGCAAATGCATAAGATCGAGCTTCGCCGGGCCATCTACCATCGCGGGCTCGGCTCTATCCTCCTACGTAGCACGGGTACCCGCAACAAGGGTAGGTAAGGGGTTGTACATCCAACCAACCTAAGACAATATCCCTATTGTGAAAAGGAGGGGAGATATAGCTATCACACCCCCTTTTACCACGTATATGCGTTAATTTTGTAAGCCTAAAGCGACTTCTCACGGCCTCGACGCCCGTGCGGGTATATTAACATCGGCCACTTCTCAGCGTTTCAGCCGTGGTCTTCTTCTTTCCGGTCACAAGTAGTAGTCTTCGTCCATCGTGAGACATTCATTCCTCTCTCTCCCAGAGTGGTTTCCTCCCATCCCTAGATTCCCAGCGCGTCGCCTGCAGCCCGTTGTGATCGAGCACGCGTCTTCCCGTAGTATAGCCTTTTTTTTAACCTAGTTTACACAAAATTCCGCCGATTTCCGAGGACGCCACGCTTGAAGCCCGAACCCACCATCCGCCCAGGGCGCAATGCTGCCAAGATATGGTTTTCTGAAGACGAGAGAGAAAGAGGGCACGGGGTTGTTGTGGCGGGTAAGCAACCCGCGTGCTGGTATAAAACATATACATAACTCAAATGAAAACGTGGCTGCGACCGTGACCGGGTACTCCCGGCTGGTTACGTGGTGACCCCGGTGCCCTGTATTGTGCCTCCTCTTCCTGGCCTATCCTATTCATCCCTAAGGGGTTGATGCCATCGTAGTCTTCCGAGCGCGATGGCGAGTGTGGCGGCGGGGAGAAAGTTGGCCGCGGGTGGGACGGCATCGTATCCCACTGGAGCTGCTGCGGCGGCCTGGGTGAAGAGAAGGATCGCTGGTGGGGTTGGTACCGCGCCGCCTGAGGTCCGAAGTAATCGGGTGTCTGTCGGCCGTCTCGTGTGGTCGGCGACTTCGCCGCGCTAATTGGTGTTAGCACCGTGTCTGCCCCCCCGGAATCGCGAGACAACATTTCATAAGATCTGGAATCCTGCTTGATATCCATTCGCGCATCTACAGACACGAACTCCTTCTTTCCCGGAAGGCCGACGAGCGGGCCGATCAATTCGATCCAGCCGGTAACCATCGACCAGCGACCCAGGAGCACGAGCAGCCAAATACCGTTCATCTGGTCTCAACATTAGTTTCCAAGCACAACGCGGTCACTCGGCACCAGCCTACTCACGGCCAACAGTACTAGAACCGCCATCACGGTCGGCAAGTTAACGACCAAGTCCTCCGTCTTGTCCAAGCATTTGTTCTTGTCGCCGTTGGACGCCACGAGGCAGGCTACCCACGCCAGGGCCTTGTTCGGGTTCGTCTTGACGGACTGTACGGTATTGTCCATGAAGACGAAGATGACGGCAAAGAAGATCACGTCGGCAATGATGACCAGCACGATTACGATACCGCGCCACTGAAGTTGAATCACCCGTCGCACCCGTCGATACGCCTGGCGAGGAGTCATGGTGCGAATACTGTTGGAGTACGAAGGCATGCCAGAGCCCTCGGTCGTGGTGCTGTTGTCGCCCAGAGATGCGAGATAGACCTTGATACAATATCCAAAGGTGGCGAATTGTATGATGACGGTGAGTCCGGCAAAGACCAAGAGTGGTATCCAGAAATCGGCCAAGCTGTTCTCGTGGTTGATGTGACATGTCGCGCCGAACCGGAAGGAAACCCCGCTGAAGACGAGCAGAACGACGAGGCCGATGATGGGGACCCCCCAGCCGAGGACTTGGGAAAAGAGCATGTAATTTCGGCCTACGACCAATTGCCAGCAGATCTGAAGATGCAGAGAAAGCGCCCTCAGAAAAATCCACATGATACCAGCCCAGCCTCCGGCGAGCAAGAAAGACCCCGAGGCCGCGCACACCGAGCTCGTATCCATTCCATGTGGAGTTATCTGGTTAAAGCATTGGTCTGGTTTCGCCGCCAAGGGGATGATGAAGCCCAGCTGTCGTTCCGTTAGATTCATTATCATTCACGCAGTGTTCGTTCTCCTAGCGGGAGATGGACTCACATTCATCAAAACAACAGCGCATGTGAGACTGATGCTTAGATAGTGACGATGAGTCTTCTCGACAGGGAGCACGATCCATGATATTAACAAGAAACCACAGCAGACCATACCGACAACATTAACCCAGTTTGCAGCCGTCGTTGCTGTTGTGAAGTTATCCGCATAGGCCCAATCCGTCATAGGGCATGGTACACAACAGCTCAAGGGCCCGACAGGCGCGCAGAGTCGGCCCTCCACGTCTAGAATGCGATTAGAAGCAACTTCATAAGGCGGCCGTCACCAGCACACTTACGTCCGCCCTCTGCGGGAAACGAGAGCTCGCTGAAAAACGGTGCGGGGCACCCGCCTCGTAAGGCTTCTATCGAACTGTTCGCCATACCGAGAAACGCGTACGCCGAATTCGACGGGCTAAGGGTTAGATGCAGGGCCCTGGAGGTAGATATCGGATTCTGGCAGACTAATCATGCGACGCGGCTAAGTTGGTGGCGCGAAAAATGATGTGTCTCTCGGGGCGGCTTCGACTGAGTCAAACTGGCTTCAATATTAAGACATTCGAATCTGTTCTAGACAAATGTCGTAGGGATCGAGTGGGTATCGCGTAGGGTCGGGTAAAAAAGAGAGAACACCACGGGCGAGTGGCTACCGACAAGTTCGGCCTTGCCCAATGGGTTTTTCGAGTCAACAAATCTAATAGCCTGGAAGTAAGTCTACTCGCTCGAAAGCATGCAGACTCTTCTTAGGTGGTCGCCCAACCGGTTTTCGGACTGACAGCGAGGCGGAGAGCACGATGGGTGGCGGGCGCTTCCTGTTGGATAGTGGGATTGGTGGTTCAGGTTAGGTTGTATTTCACGACCCCCACAACCTTGCGAGGGTGAAGCAATTCCCAGACACCTGAATCACAGGATGTGGCAGGGCACGAACGAACAGAGACAGGCACACACGCAGGAGAGCAAAAAAGGATCAGAAACATTGGAGTCGGCAGGGAGGGTAGGAGGGGAGGGCCATAAGTATGTAAGTGATCACACAGACGAGTTCATGGAGGGATGTACGCATGTAACGCAGCGAGAGACAGGGCTCTGGATTAGCGGCCAATCACCCACATGCGCCGGGGGCTGGAGAGGAGGACGATTCAACTCATAACGCCCTCTGGTGGTGTATGGTATACTATTAGAAACGACGGCCAAGAAGCCAGCGATATATACCCTTGGAGCTGCTGCTCCCTAGGGTCAGACCGATGTACCTCTCTGTCTCTCCCTCTCGTCGGGCCAGCTTCTTTTCGTCCTAGGACCAGCAGACCACATGGGGAAGCTAGTCCTCGCCATCTGCCAAGCACTGTGTATGCAGATGGAAGGTTACTAAACGGCTCGTTAAGTCGAACAGGGAGCCTTCGATCCACTAGGTGTCTAGATAGCCCTGCGTAGGTAAATGCCCCTGGTCTGGCCTCGACGGGGAAATCACCGTTGGACGGAAAACGGACCAATGTATAAACTTGGTTAAGCTCTCAACCGTCGCGTGTCACTTAGCGTCGGTCTTTCTCGCGAGGCCTTCGGGATCACTTCGAAGATACCTGGATCCCACTTCCCGCAGCTGGCGTGCCCCAAAAGGAGGCCATTGCGCCAGCTATAACACACGCGCCTGCGGGACTCTCGAAACTTGATTTAGGCAATGCGCTCTATGCGTGGCAAGGTTGAGCCTGGAAGCAGGAGTGGCGCCCGTGTCCATGTTTATAAGAGGTATGCAGTGTAGGAAGGGCGCGATGGGCCGTGACACGTCGTAGTAGGACAGCGATGGGAGGGAGGATCATGGAGGCGATCTTTGGGACGAATCGACAGACGTACCGAGACATCTGGGTAGAAAAATAAAGACCATGAAAATAAGAGCGGCCACATCTATCCCGTCCATGGTTGAGAAGAGGTAAGGTGGTCAGGCTGTGAGTGAATTGCATAGACCTGCATAACCTACCTTACGTATGTCGCCCTCTCATCCTTGCCTCAGCCCCACGTCCTTACGAGATATTTCACCTGGGGGGGTTAGAGGTACCCAAACCCTCGTGGCAGGTTGCGAGGTACTTTCATTTACAGTGCCTAAGGTCCATACCAGAATCCTCCCTAGGTAGGTACGTACCTAGTAGGCAACGATTACCAGGTGGTAGCAGGTTACCAGAGGTAACATGTAGGTACGTAAAAGCGCAGCTACTATTATGTCCACAACCGGGTCCCGGCCCCACTGGAGTCTACCAACATGGAAATCCCTCTTTACCCATTTTGTGCTTGCTGTCGATCACCTCCAGGCACCTTAGATACGTACCTACGTATAGTTATAGGTACCACACTACCTAACCTACATTATACTATACCACTGAAGCCCCCAATCCTTCCTTCCTTCCTATCGGTATTGCGGCGCGAGAAGGATTTCTACCTCTACCCCAAGCCGTATCTAAAGCTTCCACTCCATTCTATTTCCGTTCCATTTATTTCTATTCCTATCTCCTGGGTAGGAGTGCGTTTTACTGTCCTGTCCTATCCTTCGGCTCTCCCTTCATATATACCTAGGTATATATAGGCACTAGGCTACTATAACTGAGCCTCGTCATGCCCGGATGCTAACCTGGCCTGATCGTGTCTCAACTAACCAACCACCCAACCCTCTGCGCCTATACGTAAGGAGCGGGGACTCATCGATGGCGAGCTCGACCTGCCAGCGCCAACCCCGTCAGACTGTTTCTGGCGTGCTAGCCGGGGAGAGCCAAGGCGCCCAACAAATCTAATGCGCCACGACGCCTCTTCGCGGCCGATTGGACTCTTTCCACATATTAGCATCGATTCGAGGACTGAAGTTAGTTACATATGCAGGAACGCGCCCACTGGTTAGCTCCAAGATTGGCTAAAGCGCAGTGTGACGAGCAGACGGTGCCTGCATTGGTGCTAAGTACTCCGTCTCGTGGGAGTGGAATAGCATGGCCTGCTGTGGCGTCGAGAGGAGGAACCGGGATCTCGTATGCTCAGTAGGTATAATACCCACTGGCCGCTGTCTACTCAGTAATGGTCTGGAGCTGGCTTGAGCATCCTCCTCCTATGCAAGTAATCAACGCCACGGAAATATAATCACATATCATCTCGAAATCATGGTCGCTGACGCGACTGGGGGGCTACGATAGCGCGCAAATCGCCCACGGGATGCCTTGGCTGCCCTTTTGGCCGAGATAACTTCCGCTACTTCAAAGATCGGATTTGGCGACTGCCAACGATGTCGACGACATGATATTGGTGGTCTCTCGGTGCACTCGCTTAGCACGCTGCCATCTCAGCCCTGTCGAGCCTACGGGCATCGATTTGGGACCGGATCTTGTAATGTTATTGTTGCATATCGCTCATCATAAGGTCATCATGCGAAGACGACCCGACAAATCAGCTAGAGCGCCGCGCAAATTTCTTAATGCCGGGCTATTTTCCTTAAAGGGATAGGCTGGTCGTGGAGAAAACTGCACAAACCATGCGTAGTCTAGAGGACGCGAATAAGAGCAAGGGGTTAGAGAAAAAGAAAACGAGCGCCCCGCAAGACACGGAGCAAAGGGTGGTCGAGCTGAAAAAGATAACCCAGGCTGCGTTGTTCTTAGTATCCCGGCGTTGCTAGTCGAGGAGACGTGAAGCCAGGGGGCTCTTGGGCAACGGTTTACAGCGAATTGGAGGAGCATTCTGGTCCTTCCGGCTCTTGGTGCCCATGAGCGTCGCGAAAGAGGCTCAACCTCTCACAGTCGGCTTCAGTAAGGGCGCAACTTTAGTGGTTCCGTCTCCTACAGGCCTTGGATCCAATCGCGGCCAACACTGGGAGTGCCCAGATTTTTGCCTTCTCACGTCCACGTTATCCCGCCTGCACGCACCAGCTTACGGTCACCGCTCGCCTCAGCCGCTTTATCCTGACCAACAGAGAACGCATTTCCTCATCTCGGCGAGAATCGCAACTTTGAGCCCGCTCCGACGGGACCTATCACCTTCCAGACAAGAAGAAGTCTACTACTAAGAAGCTTGTCAAAGGCAGGGAAGCTATAACCTACCTACCTATATCTCTGCTCGTATAGGTAGAATAGACCGTTGCAATGGCAAGTATCCGTATCGTGTTGGTTCCCAGGCGCGTATTTTCGCACCCACTTCCCGCTACTCCCCGAGGTTGCCACAAATCGACAGCGTCGTCGAGTCGGGGCCTGTCAGATTTTGGCGTCCTGTTGTCCGGAGGAGGAGTTCGGAATGGAAGGTAATAAGGTAATGAGAATCTATATCACGACGCGTATTCCCTCGCCGGGTGGCCCAGACCGTTGCTATACAGCCTTATGAAGGCCCCCCCGGCGTGGCCTACGATAGGACCCTAGGTAGAGGGTCAAGGTGATGAGTCTTGGTATTGGTGAACGAACCCCAGCACCGTAATGTTACGCTTCCATCTGCGCGTCTTACGCCGGTCGAGGGGTAGAAATTTTTTCCCTGCCGACTTTATACGTCGGAGAAAGCTGTCAGCCCCCTATCCAGACTGACGAGATATATTCCCCTTCAAGCCATTGTTGTAGCACAACATTTGCATTTGGCCGAATTGCCATCAATGTCCCTTAGCGAGAGGGATCGACGGGTTCTCGGCAGCTAATCGTTTATAACTCATCCATATGAGAAGGGGTAAACGCGTACGTGCGCCGGCATGAACCGACGAGGGCCAAGTACCTAAGGTACGTGTCTGCAGTTCCAAACGTCTGGGATCAACAGGTAGGTACCTACGGGCCAGACTCTGATGGCTGTTACATACCCGGGGGCTGCACAGGCGCATCACCAAAAGAACACGCTCGGGCCGAGAGCAAGGTCTCACGGAGAAGTGTTCTGGAAGGAAACCGACTGTCCCAATGTAGTATCTCGCCTGATTCGAGTTGGCCGAAACGGAGAAAGAGACCGCGGTCTTCAACCCGTTTCAGAAAGGGACGCCAAGTTACACAATATTTTACGCTGCTCTTGGGAAGAAATGCTATCGCGATAGGACCTAGTTTGTGACCGACGAATCGCTACGTTCAGTACGCGACGAGCGCCCCCCGGCGAGACGGGACGAAACCAAATCGAGGCTCAATTTCTAAGTGCTAACGTCGGCCATCCAGACTAAGCTAATATAAGTGAAACTCCCTAAGGCTAAAAAAATGACTCTTACTATGCCGTAGCTGTCTTCTCCCCCGAACATCATTCTGCCGGAACTGCTCTAGAAGGTTTCTAGCTGCGGAAGAGATTACCGCACAACCTCCTGCAGTCACTCGCGGTTGCGCCAAACCACTCTCCTACCCCCTCCCCCCTACCCCTACGTACACGACTCTAATAGCGCGAGGACGGAGGCTGGAGGCAGACATTACTTACACATGCGCCTAGGTGCAGCATCTCGACACATATTTCCTATCTAGCTACGCCAATGTCTCTTCACTGTGTGACACCCGCCCCCAGGACGCCTCTCTTGCCGTAGTCTATATCGAGTAGAACAACCGAGGGCACTTCGTAGTCAGCGCAATGCGAGGGTGCCGTCTTGAGGGGATTCTCTGGATTCACACTCCCGAACCATACCTGCATATCAGATGCGTTGCGTCGGTTGTTGATCCTAGAGGATGGATTGGAGTCGCTTTTCGCTCTCCTGGTCATCTTCCTTCTGCCGGTCGTAATGTCGACCGCTCTCGTCGCCGTTACGTTGCATCGTCTCCTCCTCCCCCTATTACCACTGTAATGTCGCCGTCATTACTACTGCAACATCCGTATGCCTACATTCACACACACGCACACACACACACACAGAAATACACATGTGCAGATGTACCTATGTTATATGAGGATAAGTCTCTTGGAGGAGAGGCCATCGCACGTCCTGGCAGTTTCAGGTCAGAAGCCTAAGGCCCAAGTTGGTCTACGGCGCCATTCTTTTATTTCCTCTTTCTCCCCCCCTCCTTATTGGGGTTGTGTCCCGTTCGCATATTTTGTCTCAGAAGATCGCGAAAGTACCGGCTCGGCACCTGAGCCGAGCATGGAGATTCGAAGATTCGGTCACACGGGGGTGGGGGCAAAAGGCAGAATAAAACAAGAGAAAAGGCCGGCCAGCCTGCAACCCAATAGGCACGCCCGTTTTAGACGGGCACGTTCAGATGAAGTCCGGAACCGGCCTATCTCGAATTGGATACACTTGAGCGTCCGGCCAGCAGTCCCGGCTAACTCTACCACCTAGCAACCATGCGGTTCCAGAGGGCCCTCGGCCTCAAGCCACCGATGCCGCCCATGCCGTGGCTCTCAGCATGGCTATATATAGCCACGGATACTGGCAGTTGAGATAGTTAGTCTAGAGCAGTATTCTCACCCATCTTGTACACCACCTTCGTCTCACCAAGACGCACCATGCTGGAGAGAAAGACGGCCTCGGAGTCGAATGGCAGACGAGAGCGACTGCCGCTTTATGGTAATGCACGCTAGGACGCTCGTGCTACCATTCCCGGGAAGACCTCGTCTTCGTAGGCTGAGTCAGATCGGGTCCCGATCCACGAGGGTGTCCTGACAGCATTCTTAGCCGGCCGCGGCGCGCTCCGCTTCCAAATCTATCGTACGCTCGGTAGCCAGGGCAGGCAAGCTTAGCTCAACCACATATACCTACGCTGCACGGTGGCCGTTTTCTTCTTCCCTGGTCCCACAACCAAGGTCCAACCAACATCGAGCCGTGCCATGAGACCCTCCCAGGTTTAGCAGGTTTTCGAGCTCTATGTCTCTCTCTTGTTCGCCGCCCTCGTACCCTCGCTAACAGCAGCTCTCTCCACAGCCAGTGAGACCCCGGGTACAGGGTAACCGTCCTCGATACCGAGTTTCTCCCGCCGTGAGTTACAAGAGAATGAGAGGCTTAACTTGACCGTTTCGACAATGCGGTTGTGTTGGGACTATCCGTAGCTCTCCAGCCAGTCAATCAGTCGCTCGCTCACACGCACCATTTCTGGCTAGGTTGATAGTTGACAACGGACTATTGCCTTCGCCGCCAAGGGGTGACGCTCTTGGTCCCGCGAGATGGCCCAGCGATCTGGCGCTCACCAGGCCTGTCTCCCGGCTGCCCTACCGCACGCTGGGACAGATCTTGGATTTCTGAAACCGCGTCTGGGTGTAACCGACGTGGGGACCAGTCTTGCTCGCTCACGCCCATCCTAGGCGAACTAAGCATTCGATCATGCCAGCTTCGCGTCTGGCCTGCCTGCCTGCCTGCCTGCCAGAAAGCAGCAGCGACTGCCGACATCGACTTGGCGATGGCTGGGCTAGTATGCGAGCATTGGTGCGCGGCGTCCTGCGTGGGACGATGACGCTGAGTGGTCACAAGGAGAGAGGGAGAGGGAGAGAGAGAGAGAGAAGGAGAGAGGGAGGGAGGGAGAGGGCGCGGCGGAGAGAACCCCCGACATCTCGATAATGCACCGCTACCTACAAAATGAGGCCACGCGTAAGCGAAGCAGGGAAAGGGGAATCCTGTGAGACCGGTGTCATCCGACCCGCACATTGCCCGCGTCCCCACGATGCTACGTGCGACCCACGGCTGAGGGGGGTTCGGTTAGGGGTTAGGAGTGAGGGTTATACGGCATCGGGGACCGGCAAGGTGCTGAGAGATCCCCGAAACCAGGTGGGTAAAGCAAGCGAGCCTGGAGAGCTGGAAGTGCCAAAGGCTGGCAAATCCGGCAGCTAGACGGTGGTACTGTGTGCGTAGGAGTGCATGCGTAGTACATATAGAGTAGCATTCCTAGCAGTAGCAGTAGCAGTAGTGGCAGCGGTAGCAGTAGTAGTATAATAGTACCTCCTAGCGATGGTATCGCACTTCTAACTTCTTAGGAACGATGATTTGCGTCTAGGTATGTGTACGAGGGAAAAAAAGTTTTTTTCTTCTCATTTTTTCCTTTATGAATTGCTCGCTCGGACGAGTTCGTCTAGGTGCAGCACGAAGGTGACATGGCGCGTCATCCAGAAACACTCCAACGCGCGATGCTTCTCTATAGCACCCGGTATATCGCAATGCCCCCCCTCCTCCCCTTCCCACCCGCACGTACTCATCTACATACATACGTGTACACTTCTCTCGCGCGCGCACCCGGGGAGGGAGTTTTCCCGTAAAAGTGCAACGCAGCCCAGGGGGGGTGAGGTCCGGCGATGGCGTATGCGCGTGTGACCTTCTAGAACAGCACATCTCGGCCGGCACACGCCTATCGCGGAGAGGGGGGGAGCGAAATAGATGAAGGGGGGAAAAAAAAGAAAGAAAAAAGAAAAAAGGCCGCGGGGGGTTCCCGTCCGCTCGTCTTCGATCGCAAGGTACGTAGTATCTCGGTAGCATCGATCCTTGGGGGGGAGGCGCAGCGAACTAATAACCTCCTTCTTACGGAATGGGATCCCCGTCGGAGTTTCGCGAGGAGGGAACGGGGGTGGTTCGCGCTGGCCGGCCCGATTAAGAACTCCAGGAGGGAGCAGTACATACCTCTATTAGTAGCGCCGTCGCGGTACGTCGTAGCAGTGGTCGCCGCCGCCGCCGCCGCCGCCGTCGTAATGGTTCTAGGGGGCCGGTTCCCTAACTGACACAGGTACAGCACATACCTACATATAGTACCGCACATCTTTCCGTTATGCACATACACATGTGTGGGTAGGTAAGGTATGTATGTATGTATGTATGTATGTTCGCACATGCATAAAACGTCAAGGAGGTGCACGTGTAGTCGGGGGAGATTCCGAGGTGATCACGCAGTGTTCGGTGGTTCGATGAAGGGTCCGGGCGGTGCGAAAGAGAGACAAAAAACAAGTCCGCCGCATTAAATACCCCCTCCCTACATGTGGTTGTGTTCCGCGCTGTCGGGTCTGTCGTTGTCATGCGTCGCCGCGTCGAGAGTTGCCATTCGACATTAGGAGGCATTGCTGGGTAGAGGTAGAGCTGTGCCGTAAGGCGGGCAGCCGTAGACCGGGTTGAGAGGCAGGCAATTGACAAAAGGACTATGCGCAACCGAGTGCCACTGGTACAGAGGAAGTTGATGGGAGCTAGAAAAGAAATGAGAGTGGGTGTATGAGAGATGAGAGGGGGTTGAATCTGCAGACGGACAGGTTCGAACGAGTTCGTTCGAATGAGTTCGTCGGTTCGTCCCGCTGTACCTGTGCTAGGCGTAGGTTACTGTACCGGAGTTCAGTGGGTACATATGTAAGTAGGTTGCTGACCTAAGTGCTTAGTAGACTTTGAGTGCCTTGTCGTGATAAGACGTTACGTGTCGGCAGCCGGCAACAGGCGCGTGCGCGCACCCAGAATTAGGGCGACCAGGCGGTAGCGCCGTCGGAGCAGGCTGGGTCAGTTTTGACTAAACAGAGGATTACTTCTGTAAGCAGTAGGACCAACCAAGTCGACTAACTAGAAATTACCTAATGGACTGCTTGGATTAACGTGGCTGGTGGGGCTTCCATGCAATTGCTGTTCTCTTTTTTTCCTTTCCTTGCGGAATTCCTCTTCGACGTCACCCATCTTCAATTCGCTATACTACCTCTCTCCCATCTCTTCTCGGTGGCATACTATGCTTACACGCCACGCCCCCTCAGCGCCGTAGATCTTGGGAATTGGGCGGCTAAGAAGTCGTCGAGTATGTCCAAGAACAATGCCGTCGTCAACGATACCTCGCTTCCTCTCGGTCAAATCCGGAACCGAAATCGATCGTCCATCGTTTCCTCCGTGCTGGCCATACAGAAATACGTCGCCCCGAGGGAGAACCGGCTGAAGTCGCTCGAGTGTCTCTCCTTGGTCAACGACTTTGAAGAGCCAAGTGGCAAGCGCAGGCGGGTGGCCAATGGCAGTGTCGCCTCGCACTCTTGCAAATACCTGAGGCGGACACCCCTCAACCCGGTGGGCCGCAGGGATGAAAGGGAGTATATTGCCGTCTCGTATACTTGGAACCCCTCAAAGGCGGAGGAGCAGAAGGAGGACGGCGGCTACGGGGAGGCCGGGGTACGCTACTTTGTCGAGTCGCGGAGGTCCAGCGGGCCTCCGTTGCCCAGCAGAGTGAGAGATGTCGTCTGGGACCGAGTGCTCAACTACTCCGAGTGCGTTGGGTGCGAGAAAATCTGGATCGACCGCGAGTGCATCGACCAGGAAGACGAGGCGGAGAAAGAGGCCGCTATACAGAACATGCACCTGGTGTATCACCTGAGCGACTTTCCGATCGCCTTGCTTACCCACCGCGTCGATACGGACCGAGACCTGGATCTTCTGGTCGACCTCATGTTCCACGTAGTCGATGCTGAAGACAAGCCTGCTGTGCTCAAACTCCTGGAAGATATCACGTCTGACCTGTGGTGGACGAGGGCGTGGACCTTCCAGGAAGACTACAAAGCTTCTGTTCGCATGGAATTTCTCCTGCCACATTCCCCGGATTTGGAGCTACGCAAGAAAACTATGCAAAGCAAATCTGGTGACCCTCTCCTGGGCAATATCAGCGGCGAGATCTGCATAAAATCCACGGATTTCAGACGGCAGGCTACGGAATTCTGCCTCTCCCTTCGTGAGAGGCCAGAATACAGCGATGCTTGTGACAAAATCCTCCAGGCGGCCGCAAAATATGACATTCTGCTCAGAGATGAGTTTCCGCAGATGGGCACCTACGCTTCGTCTCGTTCCATGTCGCCTATGATCCTGGCGAACATAGGGGCAAGGGGCATCACGGTTGAATCAGATCGCCTAGCCATTGCGGCCAATTGCACCGGCTATACCACCCGCCTAGATGCAAGAGCTCTCAATAGAGACGGCTGCAGCCTCAGCCTATCTATCCTTGCCTTGTACCTGCTGAACGGTGAGATAATGGAGAACAACCCGAAACACACCGACCTGGGATCGACGACAGACAATATCTTTGAGTATATCTCCAAGCAGTCGCTCGGCACCTTTCAGTCCCCGGTCTCCCAGAGCCTCACATTCATCAAGAGCTGTCGCTTCGTCGAGCCTGGAATGACGCCGGAGGGCATCAGGACTAGGGGCCACCTCTGGAAATTGGGCCGGATCATCCGACCTGGGCCGATGACAAGGGTAAAATATAGGACTTTATCATTGCTCGACGAGCTGGCTACTAATCTTCAATTTGGGAAGTATGGCGTCGGCTGTGGCGAGCTCGCGCATCTACTGTGCCAATGGCTCTACGAACGTCCCATGTCCCAGGGCGATGGCCCGCGCGCCTGGCAGGGGTGGATGATGGATGAGGTCGAGAAGGCCCTTAAGGAGGGCAAGGCCCTCCGGCTCGGGCACTTCGCGCACCCCGCGGACGGCATCGGAGACAACCCCCGCGCGATCTTTATTGACAGCGACCGAAGCGACTGGGACGATGACGACGACGGCGAGCCCGCGCCCAGCTACGCCTTCACATCAATGTGGTTCGCCCGGGGTGACCAGCTAGACTCGCTCAACAAGCACGTTTCGCTAGAGGTCGAGGCTGATTGGCCGGTGGCCGAGGGCCGCCTACCGAGGCTTTATACTAAGCGCTGGCTTAACGGGATCTGCTTCTTCCAAGGGTGCCCGCTGCGGCCCGTTGTGTTCCCTTGGCCTTCCGCCCTGCTCGAATGAGAAGATGGATGATAGTGCTACTACTACTACGACGACGAAGACGATTGATGAGGAATGAGCAATACGTTTTGGATCACCACGACGATGGTGACGACGATGAAAACAACGATGACGATGGCTACAAGCTTTTATTATCCGTACAAGGGAGAAAAGGGTGCGGGAAGGGGGGAGTTGAAAGAAGAGGGTGGGGGACTGGAGTTTGGTATTTTGGAAAACGTAGGTAGGTAATGTGGATAGATAATTCGCACAGATATATATCTATCCATCTAGGGCTAGGTGAGGAACCGGCGTAACCAACCAGGAAGGGTATGATGAAGAGGGAAGCAGAGAGTATGCACAAGGGGAGACAATTCCGTATTTATCTACATATCTATCGCGGGGCCTTTTTTTTTCTTGCTTCTTTTTTTTCTGTTTTACCTATGGGTTGGGGGCAGGGAGGGAGAGGGAGATGGTGCCGACGGTAGATTAACAAAAACACACCAGCAATGTTTTCTTCTTTTATGACTGCAGGAGCTGGGGACAGGTGTAGAGACGTAAGTGGTAGTTATGATCTCTGGACGCGTGCTCTCGGCGTGACTAGGCTCGGTTGTGGATGAGATGGCTGAGTATCCAAGTTCGTTGAAGGGCCCGCTGTCTTTCCAGAGTGTGTAAACTTGGGACTGCATCCAAGAGCCTTTTCCCTCTCTGCTCGGTGCCTGGTGTGTCGCTGCTTACCACACACACACACACATATATATAATCTTCCTCCCTAGCTGGATTCGTAATTCAAGGCACCGTCTCCACCTTTCAAGGGTCACAGAAACCACACATACAGCGAGGGGATACACTGCTGAAATGTCTCCTTTGCTTTATCACACCCAAGGCTATGAACAGTTAAGATAGTACTATGAACTGACGAACTTGAGATTGTATACACACTGGCAGACGCGAGCTATTTTGGTCCTTTTTCAGGGAGCGGGGGGGTTGGTAGGGAGAGAAGGAATATACATGCTACAAACTCTTGTATTCCCTTTTCTCTTCCTTAGAAATTGCGTCTTCTCTCGCCGTTAAACAGGCAGACGCGGACAGATTTGCGATACTAAGCGCTCCTATTTCCCTTGCGCCCTGCCTGGAAGATTGTAAAATAGCCACGCAGCAGGAAACAAGGGTATGTTCCTATACATTGCCATCGTAAACCACCTCCGACGGCAACATCTCACTGTGCCCCTTGCAACAACACCACACCGCACAAGTTTGTACACGGACAGAGTTGATAAGATCGGCCAGAGAAAAGAAAGGAATGAGATGGAGATAGTGAGGCTGTCTCCTAATCGACACGCGAGCAGTGACGTGATGCAATGATGCAAGAGATAGAGAGAGCCCAAAGCAACATGTAAATGCAATAATTAGTCCCGCCCGATTCCTACCTAACATGTCCTTGAGATAACATCATGTCACATCCGTTCCCGAGGCAAACCCCAACTCCATTGCTATCTGTTCCTGTACAAAAGAAACAATGCATTTGTGGCACCCCAATCCCCCAAACGCCATGCTGCCAAGGGGGGTAGGAAAAAAAAAACGTAAACGATTGTAGCGCGGGCAATATGTGACGATACGTGAGACAGGCTCGTACTTGTATATCGAACTGGGCTTACTCGAACGGCTATTTACCCGAGTGCTTTGCGGCCGGCCGAGGTGTAGGCTGCTCATTGAGCTCACCCCCCTCGCTTTGCGTGCTGGATGCCGGCCGAGGTGTTTTATCGGATCCCTCTTCAGCAGCAGTAGAGTCAGCTGTGGGAGAGGCCTCCGGTGGCGTTCGTAGCGAGGTCTCTGCCGGCGACCTTGCACGGGAAAGCGGCGATGCCCCCGACTCCTTGGCCGGCGTAGCCACTTGGGTAACGGGTTCTGGCGTGGTATCGGACGAGATAGCAACACTATCGTGACTATTCGCCCTCATCATCTCTATCCCCAGTTTCGAGCTAGGGGGCGGTGGTTTTGTACGAAACCCACGATCAGGATGCGTGCCAAGCTCGTCATCTTCGTCGTCTGCCGAGTCGTTGCCTTCGATACGCCGTTTCTCGAGGTGATCGCGTCGCGAACGCAATTTCTCTAGAGACCGTCGCGGAACAGGCAGTCTGGGTTGTTCCATCTGGACAGGGGCCGATTGCTGAGAGATAAGCGGGATGGGCGCATTCGATGCCGTACCCGAACTCGGGATTGTCTCGCCATTGCTAATTCCGATTCCGAGGCCCGACTCCTCTCCCCAAGTCGAGCCCTTGCTCTTAACCACCACAGGTATCTCGTCTGTAGTCGCGGATTCAGAATCCCCGAAAAGGCTAGACCCAATAGAATCCTCTCTACTCGAGCCCCTGAAGCTACTGCTTAATGGGTGCGCGTAGACTGATGACCCCGAGGTAGGGCTATCTTCTAGGCGCGAATTGCTGTGCTTCACGTTGGAGATGAGATTTTCTTTTGGCGCTGTGGGTTCTTGGCCAGGGGAAGGGGGCTTCCATTGGCACAGGTTAGAGAGGACCTCAACTAGTTTGGAGGAGCTGATGGGCTTCTCGATGAGAGAATCAAAGTAATGCGGAGCTTGGAGCTCCTTTAAATAGGCTGTTATCGCCACGATCGGAGTGTGGGCGTTGCAATTCTTGACCTCGCGAACCATCCGGGCGACGTCCGACCCGCTTATCTCGGGCAACTTAAATTCAGTGAATATGATGTCGAACTTGATCTCGCTCACGGCGTATCGGACCGCATCCGAACCTGTGGATGCCGAGATGGTACGGCACCTCAGCTTTTCGAGAAGTTTCTCCATTACCATTCGCGAAACCGGATGGTCTTCGCATATCAGCACGTCTAAGGAACGGAACGATGGGCTATCGAGTATGATAGCGGACATCCGGCGAGATGACTGACGGCGTCTCTGCACTTTCAGCAGAGCATTCGCCCTCTCGCCTTCGTTATCCGACGACGAAGGAGACATGTCAAAAACCTGACTTCTTCGGTTGCGGTGGTGGGCTAGGATATCAGCAGCAACGGGGCTACCTTCTTGAGAGCCCACCGTCAGGGATCGTGAGCGTGTTGAAGACCCGCTAACCTGCCTCGGAGTCCCTATTGACTTCTGCGGGGAGAGCGGCAGCGGTAGCGGAGGCGGCACACCCTTGCCCTTTACTGGTGATGCGGCCGCGGCGCTCACCGATTTTTGTAGGCTAGGGGGGCCTCGGGGCACATCGAAAAAGCTTCCAGGTTGCAAGGTTCCGGTTCCAGGTTGCTGAGAGAGGCTCGAAGAATTGCTCGAAGCTTTTCTGCGGCCATCAACACCCTGACCTGCGTGAAAAGACACGAGGAGCGGCGACGAGGGTTGGGAAGCGCGACTTGGAGATGAGTTGGCGTGACTAGATGTGGACGGCGACGCTGGTCGTTGCGATGCCGATGCCTTCGCACTAGACAATGTACGTTGTACTGGCATAGACAGAACCGGACTCCCTTCCAGCGTCGGCGCTGGAGACGTAGCACTGTTCATTCCGCCTGGGCTGGTCCCGGATCTGCTTTGCGCCGCTATCGCCTGTGCTTTCAACTGTTGGATGACGTCCTTGTTGGCTTTATCCAAAACCGAAAGGTTCTTGAAAGCAAATGTCCCGAAATCGTCCGAAGCTACCGGCTCGCTCAGCCTCCGACTCTTTAGATCTCGAATATGCGGTGGTATGTGCAACGGCATCAGACCGCGCTTTATCTGATTGACCTGGACTTGGGAGCGGACACGGGACAAAGCGTCGTGCGGACGGTCGGAATAATCTGGTGTCGGGATAGACGGGGGCGATACTTGGTCTTCTATCTCCTCGGTAAAAGACTGTAAAGTGGCTCCCCGGGAATCAAAATACTCGGTATCCTCGGGGTTTTCCGGCTGGGGGACGAATTGGGCGTCGTCTTGGAGGAGAGTGTCCCAATTCACGCCTCCAAACCAAGGATGGTCTCTAATCTCAGCTCCCCCAGACGCGTGCCTATATTCGCGATTAGATCCTAGCCTTTGCTGTGGATCGATGCATAACAGCTTGTTGATAAGATCCTTTGCTTCGGCAGACACCTCGTCGGGCTCATCGGGCCACATGATCTTTCGGGCGAGTATATTCTCGAAAACCTGCTCTGCCTCGCTGGCGTGGAAAGGTGGGAAGCCGTAGAGGAACTCAAACATGATGCAACCGACCGACCACCAATCGCTGGTCTCGTCTTGTCGAGCCCCCTTTATGGTTTCGGGAGCAAGGTAGTCAGGAGTTCCTACGAACCTACGATTGGTGTCGTCGGGGTCGAAGAGGGCCATAGGAGGGGGCATCATATTCGACTGAGGCGGCGTATTCCTGTGTGTGTCACTGCCGTGACTGGCGCTGTGATGAAGGGACGGGAGATCAGGGGAAGCATGGCCGCCGTCGCTTCCATCGTCCTGCGGAGATCGTATACTAGACTGGCTCATTTGATGATCGCCTAGAGAGAACGTGCCCAGCATCTGAGTCAGGGTTTCGCTACCGCCACTGTCGCTCCGACGCCCAGAGATTCGACGAGGGTCCTGATGAGGTTGCGAAAGGTTGAAATATGACGGTTGCCCGACCCCATTATCAGGCGTAATTTGGGGCGTCGTACCTGGGGAGTGGTGGGTGCCGTGGTAATCAAGGGAAGCCGATCGAGACGACGCGACAGAGGTCGATCGGGCAAACGGGCCGGTTTTGAGCAAGTCTGGAGTAGGCTCGGCTGCTCCACTGTTCAGCGCTCTCTTCTGTCGACCAATTAGTCCCATTCGCGAGAGACCGAAGTCGGTCAGTTTGAGGTGGCCTTTTTGATCGATGAGTAGGTTATCGGGCTTGAGATCGCGGTGGATGATGCCTCGGTCGTGTAGGTGTTCCACGCCGAGGATGACCTCTCCCAGGTACTTCTTCACCCAATCCTCTGGAAGGCCGCCGAGGACCTTGATGAGAGAGGCGCAGTCGCCACCGTTCAAGTATTCCATAACAAGGTAGAGGTAATCTTTGCTAGAGAATGTCCAATACAACTTCGCGACGAATTCGCTCTCCCCTTGCCACATCATGATTGCCCTCTCAGCTTTGACGTTTGTAACTTGATTCTTCGCGACCATGTCCGCCTTCTTCAAGACCTTGATCGCGAAATACTCGCCTGTTGACTTCTTCTTGGA